CTTGTTTCCAGGGAGGTAAACATCAAGTCATCCAGAACAGATAGTTGGATATTCTCTTAAGTATCTGAAGATGTGGTCTCAGTAACTCCCTTGACAGGCTTTCAGAGTGTTTTCCACTCTGACGGTCAAGGTCTGCATTTGATGCATAGCCTTGATGATACTGCTGCTGTTTATTACTGTTTGTTACTGTTTATTACCACTACTGCTGCTGCTGCTACTAATAATGATAATAATAATAGCAGCTAATATTTATTGAGCACTTTCTATGATCTCATTTAGTCTAACTCCATGAGGTAGTTAAAATTATTATTATTATTATCATCATCATCATTTTAAAGATGAGAAAAAACTTACCATATATAGAATACATGTGTTCTCTCCATAAAAGATCATCTATTTTATATATTTGAGATCATGGTGTATATTATGATTTTTATTCTGCTTTTTCATTTAACATTATACATTGGGACACCTCCCATATGTGTCCAAATGAAACTTCATTTTTAATGACCTTCGATATTCCTTTCATGGATCCACCAAATTTATTTTCAGTCCCAGATTAGTGGCATTTATATTTGCTTTCANGTGTATTGTGGATGTGTCATCTGGGAGACAAAGACACAAAGAGCCCTTTGACATACTTAGAGGGATCATAAGGGATCACTTGAGCCATTCTTGTTTCCAGGGAGGTAAACATCAAGTCATCCAGAACAGATAGTTGGATATTCTCTTAAGCATCTGAAGATGTGGTCTCAGTAACTCCCTTGACAGGCTTTCAGAGTGTTTCCACCCTGACGGTCAAGGTCTGCATTTGATGCATAGCCTTGATGATACTGCTACTGTTTATTACTGTTTGTTATTGTTTATTACCGCTACTGCTGCTGCTGCTACTACTACTACTAATAATAATAGCAGCTAATATTTATTGAGCACTTTCTATGATCTCATTTAGTCTAACTCCATGAGGTAGTTAAAATTATTATTATTATTATTATCATTTTAAAGATGAGAAAAAACTTACCATATATATGATACATGTGTTCTCTCCATATAAGATCGTCTATTTTATATATTTGAGATCATGGTGTATATTATGATTTTTATTCTGCTTTTTCATTTAACATTATACATTGGGACACCTCCCATATGTGTCCAAGGTGAAACTTCATTTTTAATGACCTTTAATATTCTTTTCATGGATCCACCAAATTTATTTTCAGTCCCAGATTAGTGGCATTTATATTTGCTTTCAATATTTTGCTCTTACAAATAATGTCTTCATAAAAATCTCTGAATTGATTTTTTGGTATACCTCTTGATTACATACTTAGCAATAGATTCTTGAGTCCAACAGTATGATAGTTAAGTATGATAGTTTAAAAAGTATTGATACAGGGCCGGCCCAGT